ATGCTGAACTTGATCTGAACATCATTGTGAATGCAAATGAACATTTGAGGATAAGGAAAATGTTAATAGTTGGCTTATGGTCCACACAAACTGATCCTACAACTAGACCATCAATGAGCAGGGTTGTAGAAATGTTAGAAGGGAACATGGCATCTCTGCAAATCCCACCTAAATCCAACTTCATTTTACAGCGAAGAGAAGCAGTAAATCCTTCAACTTTTGAGTGATCACTCTCTTCCTCTGATGCTCATGAAGTTAAGCTGTGACCCATTAAAACTTCCTGGAATCCTGTCCTGTGGTGATTGGAGGCTCCTAGTGACCGAGTATAGAAGCAGTTATCTCGGTTGCTGGTGCTATAGCAATTTGTATGTTGAATCTCGCCTCAATGTTAAATTTCACATTTGTGTAAAACCAGAGTAATTAAAGACACTCATATACCTTCAGTTTGTTTAATCATTGTTATTACCTAGTACTTAAATAAGATAAGGGGTTGCATAGCATTTATTCGTTGTGCTTGATCTCCTCTTTCTTCTAGGAGATCAATCTTGGCTTTCTTGTTCTTAAAGTTTATTTCTTTTATATCGATCTCGATTATGGACAGCATTCGAATTCCCAGGCAACCATGACCTCCTCCCTGCGAGTTGCTCCTTTGGTGTTTTGCGAGCCTTCTAACCAATGAACGGCACAATTAAGAACCAGTCCACCTCCCTCGACCATGCAATTGACTTGGCCTCAACATCTTTTACCACATTTTTACCATCCTTGCAACGGTGGGATGGAGAAGGCCACATATATAATTGCGAAACAGATTTAGGGGACCCTTTCTGTGAAACAGAGAAACATGAAAAAACTGTAGTACACTTTTTTCTCCTACATAGCAAAAATAAGCAACGAGTGAGCGTAGTTCTCATATTAAATGTGTAACTATATATATTTTTGTGTTTGCTAGTCTATATTTCTTATTTCAGTTTGCTTATTATTGCTCTCATAATTAGTATTTGGGCTTAATTCCAAATAAATATCAGGGGAGAGTTTTCCTACTATTTTTCTATCCAATTCTGTTACTTCTCTCTCTTGATTCATTTACGAGCAATTTTATCAATATCATCCATAGTCTTCTGCCTGGTGTATGTGCTGCAACAGCTGAGTCTGTTATCCCCATCTACCATCTGTTGTCTCTTTGAAGCTTATTTTTCAACTTAATTGTAGGCTGGGTAACAGTGATTCCAACGGTCAAACATGTGGCCTTTTCGCTTGCACCATTTGCCAGGCTGACCTCGCTCGAAATGAAGGAATATCAGTTCACGCTGGTTCCATCTTGTCTATGAGCTCGACTCCTTGGCAAGGTACTTTCCTTTGTACTGACTGCCATGATAAGAAGGATGGATGCAATGGGAGGAAAACGGCCAAGTGGAGTTCAAGTAGCATAGTACTTTTTCATATTATCTCTTTTTTTTTTGTTTGTTGACGTTCATTCTCATTGATCCCCATTATTTTTAGTGAGAAATATTTGGTCATTCATTTTTATAATAATGGAGGCTTGGTGATGTACTGTAATGCTTTCAACACATTTTCTCGCATCTGTGTCCATTCAAACTTGTTTCCTCCATCTTCATTGTTCTTTCTTGTGCATGTGCGGCTGAAATGCCACCCAGTCTTTTAAAGATTGCCTCTAGTACAATGGTCATGTCATTATGGATAACGAGGTTCTTGAGACAAGCTGGCTCTGGATATTGAGC